TTAACACTGATCAGCTGTAGGGCGCCCTTTGAAGCCCCACGGCAAGAGTTTAAACAGTTTTTCTCCCTCTAGCCAATCAGCTGGGACTCAGGAGGCAGCAATAGATTGGGGGTGGGGCCAAATAAAAGGTAAGAATAATGCAGGGGGGTGGGAGGCGGGGGGGCAGAACCGGTTTGGTGAAATCATATCGTCACTGCTACTGGCTTGGCCGAACCGGGCCGAACCAGGAGGAACCCACCACTGGTCGGGGGTGTCTGCAGGGGCCTCCTGCAGTGCTCTGCCAGTAAAAATGGAGCTCCATTTTCACTGGCAGTGGCATCATGGTCCTGTCCTTTGCTGTTTCCAGGGTGCCCCATGGGCCAGATCTAAGCAACCCATGGGCCAAACCCAGTCCACAGGCCTTGAGTTTGACACCCCTGGACTAGATGATGTTCAAGGTTTCTTCCAGCCCTATTATTTTTTTGATTCTTGGTGCTTAATACAAAAAGGCATAGAGAGTCTCAAATTTCCTAATGGTCTTCTCCTTCTCCTAGTCCCAGGTACTGATCCGCCACCATTATTTTGTTGCATGGGCTCTGTCTTTGATTAAGAGCTGTGGTTGGATTTTCACTTCTTCTTTGTCTATGAGTTCCTTTTCTGGATTTGCTGATGGGACAGAAATCAATTTGTTATTCCATTCCTGGACTTTGCTGGCAGTTAGTTCCTATTTGGGTGCTACCTCCAAATATTTTGGCTAGTGTTTGCTTGGTTGGTTATTATTGATATGTAAAACAAAAGGGGGAGTGAGGGATGAACCAGAGTAAACCTGACCCCAGAATAATTCTCTTTGACTAGTAGAAGTACTAGTTCCTGTACTACAGGAAGAGCCTGTAGTACAGTGGACTAAAGCACTGTTATTAACATCTGCTGCTTGCAATTACTGCAAGTTCAAATCTCACCAGGCTCAAGGTTGACTCAGCCTTCCATCCTTTCAAAGTCTCCGGAGAAGGGCGGCATATAAATTAAAATGCAAAAAAAAAAAAAAAAAAAAAAAAAAAGCAAAAGTCCAGCCTCTTTGGAAACAATAATTTCCCACCACTGCCTTATTGCTAAAGATCGCCATCAATGATATGAATGATTTCTACGTCTTCAGCTGTCCTGCTTCACTGCTCAGTTCCTTTCAATGCGATCACTTCTGTCACCATCCATTTTTTTAGTTTCTTTCCTCCAGCCTACATGTACTCACCAATTGCCTCCTTCTTCACAAAACTCCCCTGAAGAGAGGGGAGAACACAAACAAACAAAACTTTTATACCCATGCATTCCCTGTGCCAGCTTCTTCCTTAACTTGCTTGTACTTTGTGGAAGAGTACATATGTAGAGTGGGATGGGTTGGATGCATGATAGAAAGAAAGAAGCTTTGCTACTCCAATCATCCTCCCACAATCAGCAAAACCCTCTTTTGATATATTTGACATTTTATACCAGTAAGATTTATCAGGGTTCTGACACAGGATAATAGAAAGGTACCAAAACAGCCATTTTTTATCTAGCTGCAGTAACTACTGTTTACCCTTCATCTTGGAAACATGTCCTATATTCATATGGCATTCTTAACAGGTCATTTTAAGACCCAGTTTATCAGAGCAGTATGAAAGAAAGATTCAGCTAAACTTTGGAGTTAAACCATGATTCCCATCTCAGTTTCAGAAATATTTAATTAAATAAGAAAAACCAGGAAAACTGCAGGAGAAGTTTTAATCCCTGAATATATATGTGATCACTCTAACTAGCAGACACTGATTCTAACCTCTTTCTTCTTTACAAATAGTCCTTGTTTATTGACCACAATTGGGAATGGCAACTTGGTCACTAAGTGAAACAGACTGCTTATGATCTTATTTCAATTTTCCTTTGCTTTATTTATTTATTTATTTATTTATTTATTTATTTATTTATTTATTTATTTATTTATTGGTTCGATTTATATGCCGCCCTTCTCTGGAGACTCAGGGCAGCTTACAATGCGTTAAGCAATAGCCTTCATACTTTTGTATATACCTGCTTAGTAGGGCTTTCGGTCCCCCCTAAGCGATGTTCTTTTTTATACAAAGTCAGCTTATTTTCCCACAATCTGGGTCCTCATTTTACCTACCTCGAAAGGATGGAAGGCTGAGTCAACCTTGAGCCTGGTGAGATTTGAACTCGCAGTAATTACAGACAGCTGGTGCTACTTAACAGCACTTTAGTCTGCTGCACCACCAAGGCTCTTTACAGACTGTGAAGATTATAAATGCAAAGATTGTAGTTAATTTACTTTTTCATAACTTGTGCTAAACAAGGCAGTCTCTAAACAAGGTCTTCCTATATTGATTAGTTTAATCTGGCCTTATTTCTTTGGAGCTAAGGGTAAGACCCAGTTCAGTGTAGCACGCAAGGCAAAAGGCTACAAGTTGAGAGACTATAAAGCCAGCCAGTGATCTCAGGCCAGGTCTCTCTTTCTCAGTCCTAGGAAGCAGGCATTGGCAAATCACTTCTGAAAAACTTGCCAAGAAAACTTCTGGGTCTTGTCCTGGTATCAAAAAATAGAAGCCAAGTAAGTACACACAAAGGTATGGAGTAAGCCCACAAAATGGACTAATGTAATAAGTGCATTATTAGAGTAAAGTTGTAGCAAACATGTTGCACATAATGTAACAATTTTGTCAAAATGACTCATACATCACATAGAAAATGGTTAGATCTTGGGTCACAATGTTGCAACAGTCATGTTACTGGCCACCTATGGATAACCAGTGTGGTGCTGCGTGCATACACAAAAGGATTGGGGGCTTAGAGATTGTGATGCAGTCCTGTCCATTTTGTAGATTTTGACCTTCATGATAGTTCGCCTGGAGCCCTGCAGATAAGTAGACTTTCCCTGTAAAGTGAGGCAGAGCATCTATTTAGAGGCAAAGGACAGGAGTTTCTTTATTCCTAAAAAGTCTAATGGACTGGAAAGCTCTGAAAGCAGGGAAGGAGTAGAATGAATAGCACATTTTCCTGATTAGGCCTGGGATTCAGGTGCAATGCTTATGGAGCCTGGGAAGCCTAAAACCAGCGAGGTAAATTTGGCAGGGAACGTGCAGGCTGATGCATGAGAGATATTTTATTTCTTCTAAGTGCTGCTGTGCAGTTTGCATAGATTTACATCTGCTGTCATTCTTTGTCCCTTCATCTCTTTGTTTGCTCAGATTAATGATGACCAGCTTTAGTATGCAGATCTCACAGTAACCTGATGCAGCTTAACTCTTTTTCATATCATCATTTCGTTGCCCTTATTGAAATGATAAAAAGGCCATTTTTTTTCTTTTCCAAGCACCATGCAGCAGAAAACCCAATCCCCCGTTTAAATGGAAAAACTGGAACCATTTATTTATTTAAATTTTATTCTTGGGAAAGGGAGATTTCCTATTGTGCTCCATCAAAATTCCAGCTGAATTGGGGCATCTCCCAGCATAAGAGCTGGTGGTAACTAATTATTAACTAGAGAGAATAGCCACATCCAGACATGCCAGAGCTCAGGTGGACAGAACCTCTAGAAAGGACTCTGGTTGGGAATAAACATCTCACCCCTTTCTGTTACAATGAGATTTATAGGCATTTTAAGCTGATGAATCTGGTGGGCTCAGGATTGCAAGCAATTTCAAAGGGGAAATTTGCTTCTTTAGGCTTCAATCAAACAGCCCTTCTAATATGTGGCTTTTTGTTAATGAAGCAAATCTAGCTTTGTTCAGTAACAGAGGCTATTGCAAATAGTCAATGTAGGTACAAAAGCCCCCTTAACTAAGTGAAGAGGCAGATCAAAGCACAGGCCTATTGCCTATCGTATTCTAAATAGGTTTCTTGAATGAAATGGAAACTTAATTAGAATTTAGATAATAAAAGATTGTACCTCTTACTCTTCTATTCATAGCCAGGTGTTATTCAAATTCTGCTGAATGCTTCTGAAAACTTTATTCCTAAAAAAAATATCTTATTCACAAAAATAGAAACCTACCAAATAACCTAGGAATCAGTTAAGGGTAAATGATGACTGATATTTTATTCTTTCAATGTTTTACTCTTTCAATGTTTCTAGCCAGGAAGGAAAAATTGTTTTGTTTATGCAGTTTATGCAGCCTGGTTTCCTAACATTGTTCATGATTGCTGGTTGCCATCCCTCCCTCCCTCCCCCTTGTTCCTTCCCAAAGATTCATCTTTCTATATAAAACCATTCTATTTCTGAAATGATAGAAACAAACCAAGTCAAACACCATGTGGAAAGCCCTGCTTGAAGACATGCATCTTCATAAAGCAAAACCAAAAGGACATTATCAGGCTAAACATCAGATGTTTCTTTGAGTGATGAAACTGACTATCCAAGGAGAAGCTCATTGGAAGATATTCTCCTGAGAAAGTACCTCCAAGTCCAGATGGCTGGATATTCTTGCAAAAATCTCATTTCACCTTCAAGAATCAGTGGTGATGGATGTGTTTTGCTCCATGTAGCCTGTCAAGAAAAACAGAACCTGCTGTTTTCAGCTTGTCTATTCTTTTGCTTTGATCAATCCAGAAATCTAGAGTAGGCGTAGAAAATATTGTAGGGCTATGCAAAGCTTTAAGAAAAGACATTTCACAAATCACTAGCATGAGCAGAGCACTTCTCAAAGCATTAAAGTGACCGTGTCCTCTGGAAAGCTTGCTTTGAAGATTGTTTCTGGCTTTCTTGACACATGAATTATGCAGAGATGACACCAACACTGAGATCAGGTAGGGATAGCATTCAAAGCAGTTGCATTAGTTTTCCAGAGCACACAGCCACTTTACTGCATTGAGAAGTGGTGGTGGTGATGGTGGGCTTTGTTCATGTGAACATGATTTAAGGACATTCCATAATATGTGTTTCATAATATTCCACCCCAGTATTCCCCCCTGGTTTGCACCAGTTCTATAGAACCAGCAGTAAAACCGGCGGGAGGCTCCGCCCACCGACCCCGACATCATCAGAACGCTTCTGCGCATTCGCATTAGAGTGCACGCATGCAGGAGCAAAGTGAGCGTGCGCACATGGCCCTGTTGTGAACCGGTAGTAAAGGTAAGTAGAACCCACCCCTGTTCCATCCTCTTGAAATTTCCTTTAATTCCTACTTTTTTCTCTTTCTTCTGTTCAATCATGTCTGATTCTTGGAGACTCTCTGGACATGTGTCTGCTCTTTTCTTGGCAAGGTTTTTCAAAAGTGGTTTGCCATTGCCTCCTTCCTAGGGATGAGAGAAAGTGACTGGCTGATGGTCATTCATTTGTTTTGGTGTTCAAGTCAGCACAAGAATTCAGAGTGTACCAGTGCCTTAACCACTATGACAAACTAGCTCTCACTTCCTGTCTTTCCAGTCTGTTAAAGCAAGACATTTAGGTAAACAAATAGTACTGTGGGATGAAGATTAAATGCCAATATATTTCAATATTTTTGTTTGATCTTAGCATTGTTATTAAGGATTTGATTTCAGGATTAAAAAACACCTCGGTTGTAACACTTTCTTTACACCCTAAACACGATGATAAAAATTAAGCAGAACTTTGCGAAGATCTTCTAAGACAATTGCAACCCTTTGTAAATATGTCAATCCTAAATCACTGAATTACAGAAATATTCCTTCTTGGAGTTAAATAATTAATAGTAAGGATTTCTCAGCTATATTAACCTTCTCAGGTCCTTAAAGCTTGTTTCAGTAATTTATGCAGGAAAGGGATTATTGTAGTAGGTTATACCCATGTATTAGTTTAAAAATCAGCAGATTATTAACTTAATACATTCAATTCATTTAATACATTTTAAGAAAAAAAAAAGTGGATAGCATTAGTCTTCTCACATGGAAATATGTCCAATTAAAATATATTTTGACATTTCAGTTTAATGAATTTGCATCCCATAAAATTCTCAATGTACTTGTTATATTGAAAAATGTTTTAGAGATTGCCAAACCTTTGGATGGAAATGGCTGTGTAGATTCTCAATCATCCAGTTCATGATTGTCCTGAAGGCGCTTTTCCAAAAGGCAACTGGACTTTCTTTGTTTTTTTTAATTTTAAATGTTTTGCTTCTCATCCAAGAAGCCTCTTTGGTTCTAACTGAATGGTGGGGAATGGAAGGATCAGTCATCTGGTCATTAGCACTCTGAGGTTCCAAAAAAGTCCAGTTATCTTTTGGAAAAGCACTTTTGAGACACTTTGGATGAAATCTCCATCCCCTGCCTTTTATCCACAGAGCTAGGGTGGGGCTTAGATAGCAGTGGTGGCTCTTCCTTCCCCAGGATCGGCCCATGGCTTTCCATTGCTCTCCTCTTCTCTGCCCTCTGCGCAGCTGCGTGTCAGGCACTGGACCCAGTTGTTCCTCCTCTTCTTCATCAATCACCTCCAGACCTGGGGGCTGTTGACTCTCCATCTGAACCTGATGGATGTCCCAGGTTCTGCGTCTCTCTTTCTCTCTCTGACAGCTCCATTCCCTCTTCCCCCTTGAAGCTCTCAAGTTGCCCTGATGTTGACCCTGACTCCTCCTCTTCTGATTTAACTGCTGGAGGGGCCGGCGGCCAACAGGTCACAACAATGATATTGAAATTATATATCAAAAATTTGGATTTTTATCAATTTATGAAGAACTTTGGATTTATTAAATTTGGAGTACAACTAAAAATATTGTGTTTTTTTTTTTGTTGGACATATAGTGCATATGTTTGAATTAGCTCTTTATCAATGGGCAAGGTTTAATTTGTTCTTTAGAAATTAGTAATTTGTGTAGTTCAGAAAGCAGATATTTATATCTGTGTGTTTATTTTAGCCCCCCCAACTGCGTTAAAAAAATCTATGAATTATTATTAGTATAAAATAAATAAAGGATCTAAAATCTGCAAAGTGATTTTACACATATGGGTAAGATTTGGTTTTAGAGCTTTTATTGCAGTCCTCATTTCGTAACCGAATTGGGACCAGAACTTCCAGCACTAAGTTACTGTATACAGCCATTGAATTACACTCAATTTTATAATCTCTTTTGCCGTGATCATTAAGCAAATCAGCAGGCTTTTTAAGTGAATGTAGGTTCCCCCATTGACTTTGCTTGTTGAAACTCCCCTGGGAAATTCACAATTGTAAATCGCATGACCCAAGATGCTGCAACCATTGTAAATACATGCTGGTTGACAAAAGCCCAAATTTTGATTGTGTGACTGCAAGGATGCCGCAATGATAATAAATGTGAGTCACTTGTAAGCCACTTCTTTAAACGCCACTGTAACTTTAAATGGTGATTAAATGATTGTTTGTAAGCTGAGGACTACCCAAAGTTAAAATGTTTCCATCTCTAAATATAGAGCCCAGTTTGTAGCTTTCAGAATGATCATAGAGAACTCTGTGGGCTCCATAGAAGACCACAGCTACATGTAGTCTTTCTATCCTAGTTGCCTGCTCAATTTAAAAAGAGGTATATAGAACTGTTAGTGTGCAGTCAAAACCAAACCAAACCAAAAATGAAAACAGAAATGCCATACTGTAATGCAATGGTTTATCCGTAGAGTTTCCCCACTTATCTAAAAATGCTTTAATGGTTAGCAACCTAATTTAGTCTAAATTATTATTTTAATGTTTCTGGTCTAGAGCTATCACTAGAGTGATAAAAGTGATTTGGGCTTTGAAAATGTGAGTTCAAAGAAGTCATAATTCGATTAATAAAATTGTGAGATTTGCAGTTCCTAAGGGCTTTTAAACTCAAAAAGCTGTTGTGATATATTCATTCCTCACCAACAGTTTCACCAAGTGGGTTGTTGAACTCACTGAATAATGTGGTAGTAAAATTAAGTAATTAATAAGATTAGCATTTTAGTATAGTTGTAACCTAGGCAGAATCCAGATTCATGAGATTTAATTATCTTTTGCTAGTTTGAATAATTTGTATTCAATTTCACAGAAAACATGCAAAGGATGTTTCCACGGTGCTCTCTATAAGAAGAATCCTAAAAAAAAGAAATGGAAATAGGTTCCTAAAGCTTAACTAGAGGTTTGGAAAAAGAACAGATACCAGTGTATTATTCCTAAATCTGGGGAAATATTATGATATTCCCAATAGGTAGAATAAAGGTACAAACATCAATTCTAATGTTTCACAATGAAATTCAAATTTTGAAAAGGCAGCAAAAATCCAAAGTGATCTTTTGTAAATCCCATACTTGGCATTCCTCAGTCCCAAACTTGCCTCTGCTGATTATACTTTGTACCTTAGCGTTTATTTTATATGAAATCTGTTGTAGTTAAATCTATCTGCTGAAAGGAAGACCTGGATATATCAGTTTTGGAATCTGAAAATAGTTCTCTCTCAAAAGAATGCTTTATTTTGCATATTAATGTGAACAGGATTGAATTCAATATCAAGGAAGAGGGCATAGTATACTTAGACTTCAGTAAGGCATTTGACAAAGTAGACCACAACCTATTTCTTGGTAAACTAGATAAATGTGGTAGACAGCATCACTACCAGATGGATTTGTAACTGGCTGACAAATCATACTCAATGAGTAGTCCTTATGGATACTACATCTACATGGAGGGAAGTATGCAGTAGGGTACCACAAGGTTCCATCTTAGGTCCAGAACTGTTCAATCTATTGATAAAAGACTTAGATGAGGAAATAGAAGGGGTACTCATCAAATTTGCAGATGACACTAAGCTGGCAGGAATAGCCAACACCCCAAAAAACAAGTTCAGGATCCAGACTTGAACAATGGACCCTATCCAACAAAATGAAATTTAATATGGAGAAAAGAAACATTTTAAACCTAGGCAGAAAAAAAACCAAAGGTACAAGTACAAAGTAGGTGAAACCTGGCTCAAAAATGGTAATTGTGAGAGGGACCTTGGAGACCTAGTGGACAATCAATTAAATATGAGTCAGCAATGTGTGGCAGCAGCCAAAAAAGCTAATACAATGCTTGGTTTGTATACAATCAAAATCACATAATTATTAGTACCACTTTAGAAATCCAGGTTTGGTCTTAAGAGACAATGTTTCAAGTCACCCATGGTGAGAGCTCTGAGTGAAGATTTTCAGTCAAAATACCTTAGAAGAAAATGATCCCATGGAATGGTTGTGGGCCCTGAATCTACAACCTCATCTGTTTTTTTTTTTCCAATGTGGCCCCAACACAATGCATAAATAAAGAATAGACCATCTTGATGGATTTCCCACTTAGACATTTCTTAGTCCAATCGCATTCCGATTGCTATGAACGAGGAGCATATCAGTACAATATTTGCTTCTAAAGCTATTAAAGGTCAAAGCCAAACTCATACTTTAAGCATACTATAAACATGAAATTAGATTTCCTGGAAAACAGGGTCTGTCTGATCCTATATTAAATCAAGTAAGTCTTGACCAGAAAGTCTGACTTTGAGGAGTTATAGCTGGAACCAAGGAATGCATTAACATTTTGGTTTCTCTATTCAGTTGAAATAGGAGGTTGCAAAGATTGGCATGTGAGACATTCACTAAGAGGTTTCATGAGCCACAAATTGCAAATGTGTGCTACGCAGTAAGAAAATACTTTGAAGTCTGGAGCCAGACAAGGCCAAATAAAATACTTGTGTATTGCTAATAAAATCAGGATTTTTTAAATATAGTTCTATAGTAATATTGTATTCTGTTTTTCAAGAAAAGTTTTCTTTTGACAAAAGATCTATGATTGGATTATAAATTACAGTATATTTACAAAAGCAAGAAGCACAATGAGGCAAAAAGAGAGATCTGGCAGGCAATGGGTAAGGCAAATCAAGTTCCAACTTGATTGCATCTAGCTAGCTGAAAGATACAATGTGATCTAAGGAGGTACCTTCTTGATAAGGGTATCTTTGTGTCCAAACAATGTTTGGATGGGACAAATTTATAACAATTATCAATAGCAGAATCCAGAAGTGAGAAAATAAATTAAGAAACTAAGGAAAAGAAATTAATAATGTTTTAGTTTGATTGTCTATTATTGTTATTTTTTTAAATTATTTTTTAAATTTGATTTATATGCCGCCCTTCTCTGGAGACTCAGGGTGGCTTACAATGCGTTAAGCAATAGCCTTCATACTTTTGTATATTTATACAAAGTCAGCTTATTGCCCCCACAAACTGTTATGTTGATACTTTCATAGGATGCCCCAGGAAATAACTGGCAGCCAATGAGAATCCGAAGGATTAATGACCAATGACATTTGTGGGCTACTTCAGAAGCTAAATAGTCAATCAGGATATCATGAATATCATTTGTACACCACTGTAATATTTCTTTCTTAGATTTATATTTTACCTTTGCTTTAGAAACTCAAGGCAGTGTGCTTAGCATTCCCACACCAATTCTCCCCACAACAACCCTGTCTAAATCTTTAGCCTTCCTGCCACAATCATAGAAGAGGTGATTCTTCTCTTTCAACATCTTTAACTATCATAACAACTCCTCCTCTTCATGATCTTTTCCTCCCTCCCTTCTTTTTTCCTTTTCACTCTTTGAACTTTCATCTGAATCTGAAGACCATCTAAGACTCTGGATTGAGAGGTATAACTTTTCTTCCTCTTTATCCCACAATATTATAAATGTTTTAATGTGCTATTAGAACTGTGCAAATTCTCGAAAAGAAATATTTTAAATGCATTTGAAGCAACTTTTTGGGGAAGAATTAAAGCAACCTGGTTTTTTTCCCAGGCTGTTGTTGACCCTTAGGAATTTCCAAAGAAACTCAAAAATTTGTATAACCTTAATATTTATACTGGGAATCAGTATACCAAGAATTGAAATTTGAAATTTGTGCCATGATTTGAAATAATACACTTTGTCAGTTATTATATATTGAGTCTTATTTATAGATTATTATGCAGGGTTTTTTTTTTTTGGTCAATTATATTACAGTGATCTTATTACATTGTAATGCATTCATTTATTATGTTTTAATCATTATGAAATGTATGGATTATTTTATCTCTTGTTTTGCTTGCATTTCTAGGACTTATTACAGTTTGCATTATTGGATATTAATCCAATAATGATTAAATTAATATTTCATTGTCTGCAGTCAGGATTCAGTAATAAACCTTTAGCAGCTGTCTAAAACAATCTAGCACAAAATAGATATTCCACACAGACACATATTTCATTATGTGTTTTATTTTTGTACAAGCCTGGGAAAAGTTATGGGGGTTTAGCAGTGTTGAAAGTGAGAAAGTAGATGGGCTACATTTTACAAATGGGTGAGGGTGAGGTTTGTGTGGCAGGATGATTTACTTTGTTTCGTATCTATAATATACTTGGGGCACAAATTGCCCATTTGGGCTAGAAATTCTACCCTGGCCTGTCCAGACAGATTAGATTTCAGTTCCCAGAATTACCATTTAGCATTTGATCCTCTAGACACACTTGGAGAGCATCAAATTAGGGAAGTCTGACTTGCTTGCAAAAATCAATGGGCATACCCTGATGTTTGTGATTACTGAATCTCCATCTCTATAAATCATTGTGATCATGAAGTTTTTATGAAGACAAAATTACTGACTGTATTCCAGCAACATTTCCGTCTTGGATACAAGCCGCGTTAGAAGCTCCCTCCTGAAGATTGGAGCTGCCAAACCAGCAGACACTGAACATCTCATTCTATTATTCCAAGGCATTTCAGCACAGCAGCACCTGCAATCTGGGAAATGAAAAGGTGAGAATGCATTATTGATTAATTACTTAGTCATCTCCAAGTAGTTATTGAGCACAGCTGTGACTTTGACAAATTACTCTTCAATTTTTGTGACTGATGTGCAATTTGAATAATGCAGTTTTACCATCCTCCTGTCAGAGAATGACATGGAAGATGATTCTGGTGGTTCACAAAAAGGCAGCTATGTCATGTTTGGGTAATAGATGATGTTTGCAAACACTTAGCAAGGGGAAAATAATTAATGACTGCAATACTTTGTTTGAAAAGTACACTGGGTTAATTAGTTAAAAGCAAAACATCAACTTTCTTTCATAACCAGACATAATGTGCATCTTCCTGGGATACACTGTAGAAAATTCAGAGTGTCTGCTTATCATATTTGATGCCAATATATGACTTTTCTCCTTTACAAATAGCACAAGGAATAAGGATACATCCATCAAGAGAAAAGGGGGAGGGGAGAATGCTAAACCCAAGATGAAGAGAACAGTTACATTAAACTCAAGTTCTGCAGGCTTCATCTTCAAAAGCCCTTCCTTTGGATAATTTTTCACATAAAACATTAAGTTAAAATAAACTGCAAAAAACTGCTTCCATGAATCTCTGATAAAATGAACTATGTATATAAAGCTTCTTTTCTGGTTTGATTGTGTGTGCTGTAAAAACATGGAGGCCCAAACTATATCTAAGAGCTGAGGTGGTGCAGTGGTTAGAGTGCAGTACTGCAGACTACTTCAGCTGACTGCTAGCTGCAGTTCAGCAGTTCAAATCTCACCAGGCTCAAGGTTGACTCAGCCTTCCATCCTTCCGAGGTGGGTAAAATGAGGAGCTGACTCTGTAAAACCACATAGAGAGGGCTGTAAAAGCACTATGAAGTGGTATATAAGTCTAAGTGCTATTGCTATATTGTGACTGCCATACACAGGGATGGCGGAAAGATTCTCTCCTCACATTTTTTTAAAAGAAAATATCAATTTCCCCTACCCCATCTTGTTCTGCCTCCAGTTGCACAAAAGCAGCTTTAAAAAATTCTGCATAGGAGATGGGTTATGAATTTAGGAATATAAAGGAGCATATTTCCTTAAAAAATATAGGTGGAGCTGGAGTAGCAATCCCAGTCTGGGACAGTAACCTCTCTTCTTATACAAATATAAAATAAAAACTAAAGCAGGCTGCACATATCTTATTTACTGAGCATTTTTTTTAAAAAAAAATATTTACAGTATCTTCAGAATAGCCTGGCAAAAATCCAACATTACTACTGCCCCCGTGGAACTGCCTTTGTCCTGCCCCCTCCTGTCTATGATTTATTCAGCCTTCTCTTGCTATTTTCCATACTGCAAAACAATAACGAGCTGCAAATAATAGCAGAAAGTGAAGACAGTTAAGACAATGCATCATTATGCTGTCAGCTCTTCTGTGGTTAGCGAGAATTGGGTTAGGCTAAGAAATGCTACTGTGGACAGGTTCTCTACATTATGCAGCTCAGCCCTGAAAGAAAAGTGATATAGTTTCTTAGGTATGTGGCCTGATGCTACAACCAAATTACTCTTGTGCAGGAGTATTTACAGGAAAAATTACTGTAAACTACCCAGAGTCACTTAGGTGAGAAAGGCAGTATCAGGGGTGAAATCCAGTAGGTTCTGATGGGTTCTGGAGAACTGGTAGCAGAAATTTTGAGCAGTTCGGAGAACCAGTAGTGGAAATATTGAGTAGTTCCGAGAATCGGCAAATACCACCTCTGGCTGGCCCCAGAGTGGGGTGGGAATGGAGATTTTGCAAAATCTTTCCCTTGGAGTGGGGTGGGAATGGAGATTTTGCAGTATCCTTCCCCTGCCACACCCACCAAGCCAGGCCCACCAAGCCACACCATGCCCACCAAGCCATGCCCATAGAACTGGTAGTAAAAAAAATGGATTTCACCACTGGGCAGTATATAACTGAATGAATGAATGAATGAATGAATGAATGAATGAATGAATGAATGAAAGTAAGTAAATAAGTAAGCAAGCAAGCAAGCAAACAAATAAATACATAATACTCCACAAAGTCTCTAATCACATGATCCAAGCTCTTTGTGTGTCAGGATATGATTGCATGGTTGAAGCTGCCATCTTGACTTTTTTTTACTGCTATGGACATCCTGCCTCTTTGCCAAGCTGAGTTGGAAAAGCAAGAAGCACAGTGAGGCAAAGAGGAAGAGACTGACCAGGCAATGGGTAGGGCAAAGTTAAGCTTCCAAATCAACTTTCGATTTTTAAAGGCTTCAACTCGGTGTTTTTCAAACTTGGTGAACATGTGTGGTCTTCAACTCCACACTGGCTGGGGAATTCTGGGAATCTGAAAGGTGCCAGGTTTTAAAAAGAGTTAGCTTTACTTGGCAAGGACTTGGCAAGAGTGTTCCAGACTGCTCTGTTTTCAAATTCAGTATCCTTACTGCTATAAATAACTGTAGTGTTATATCTTTGCCCAAAAAGCACACCATGTTTTAATTAAATTTAAAATTAACCATTGATATTATTATACAGTAATTCCTTTTTTGTGAGTCACTCAGAGTCAATAAATTATTTAATAAATTATAAATTATTATTTAATAAATTATTAAATAAAGTGTTTATTATTTTAAACATTGTAAATGTTGTTCAAACAATAGTTATCACTTTTCATGCTAAAAACATACATTACAGTTCACTTTCTCAACATCTAAGGTATTTGAAAAATTCTCAGTATGCCTATCCCTATACCAGTGATGGCTAACCTTTTAGTCATCGTGTGCCAGGAAGAGGGGGGCTGGGAGGTTCGCGCACATGTGCCCACACCCATAATTCTATGCGTCCCACCCATGCGCGCGCAAAGCTCCTGTCATGTGATGGCCCAGTAGGCCCGTTTTTCTTTCTCACCTGGCTCCAAATCCTCTCTATGCATCTGGGGAGGGCAAAAACAGCCTTCCCCACCCCCTCAGAGGCCCTCTGGAGGCCTGAAACGGCCCATTTCCCAACTTTTGGTTGGACAGGAAGTCCATTTTTTGCTGTGCCCAGCCTCCAGAGACTCCTAGAGAGGCTTTCAGGCCTCTGAAGGGCCTCCGAGGGGGTGGAGAAGGCTGTTTTTGCCCTCCCCAGATGCATAGAGAGGATCTGGAGCCAGGTGAGAAAGAAAAACGGGCCTTCCCCATCCCCCCAGGCCCTCCTGAGGCAGGAAACAGCCTGTTTCCCTACTTCTGATGGGCCCAGAAGGCCTGAAAATCAGCTGGCTGGCACGCGCATGCACGCGGAGATGAGCTTGCATGCCAGGTGACATGGCTCTGCGTGCCACCTCTGGCACGCGTGCCATAGGTTTGATATCATGGCCCTATACCTTCCAAATGAAAAAAACTGCAATTATCCCAAAGATGCATTTTCAAGAGGCAACTGGATTTTATTTTTCCTTGAAGAGCTTTTGCTTCTCACCCAAGAAGCTTCTTCAGTTCTGACTTAGAACTGATGTCAGAAATGAAGAAGCTTCTGGGGTGAGAAGCAAAAGCTCTTCAAGAAAAATGAAGAAAGACCAGTTACCTCTTGAAAATCACCTGTGGAACAATCATGACTTGCATGACTGAGAATCTCCATAGACAAAAACTGCAATTGTTAACCATTTCAAAATTACATTACCATCTGGCATAGATTGGACATGAAAGTATTTGTATATGGAAGACTTTATCAGTTGAAGTGAGTTACTCAATAATTGAGGAATTGGCATTTGGGAGCAGTGCTACAGCAAATCTAAATTGGGAAGAAAATTAACATGTGCTTTATATCTTATTTCAGAGTAGAAGTCATTATAAATCTCAAAATAACTATAATAACAATATCTGTGCATGCCAAGTGCCATTAAACCTCTCAAAATATTATGCCAAATCAAAGATACTACTTATATTTTTGGGATGCTTATAAATTCTGGGTGCTTGAATTTGGATTGAAAGTAAACTCTGTTTTTGTCAAATACTTTTTAATGGTTTTGTTTACATTGCCTTGGAAAACTGGTCATGGTAAAAAAATAAGCCAAGAACTTTGTTTTCTCGGAAACTTTTGGTGGACCTGGGAAATATAAAACTGAATTAAGTTATTCAGAAATAGATCTTAACTTTATTTTATGCGTAACATACACAGTGGAGAAAAGGATATAGTCTAACTAGGTTTTGCAGTTTCAATTTTGAAAGCAAATATCAGAATAGTATTTGGGTATAGTATAAACTAGTGGTGCTCAGTGGCTAAGACACTGAGCTTGTCAATCGAAAGGTCGGCAGTTCAGTGGTTCAAATCCCTAGTGCTGTGTAACAAGGTGAGCTCCCGTTACTTGTCCCAGCTTCTGCCAACCTAGGAGTGTGCTTTTGATATTTAGTCATGCTGGCCATATGACCATGGAGATGTCTTCGGACAGCTCTGGCTCTTCAGCTTTGAAACAGAGATGAGTACCGCCTCCTAGAGTCGTGAATGACTAGCAATATGTGCGAGGGGAACCTTTACCTTTACCTTATGGTATAAACTAGCTAATTATTCACAAGTCACTATGACAAGCTGCTCTGTCTCAAGACTCTGGATCTTCTCAGAGAATAAGGTAGTCATGTACTTTCTTCCTTCAATTATTCAGAAAAAAGTAGGTCATAATGCTTAAGCAAGTTTAAAATAGGCATCTATATCTTTGCTGCCTGATTGTCTCTGCTCCAAAGGAGTCCTGAGAGAGTTTTCTTTGACAGATTTCAATTGCTTAATATCCCTGGGCTAAGCATTTAGGAAAAAAGACACAATACACCAGACATATAAAAATGGTCTCATATCTCAAACACTTTTGCCTATTTCTGAAAAAAACAAAACAAACACAAGGTACATAAACATGTGTAGACTTTAGAGCAGGCAGGATATTCTACCTTTTTTGGCAGGGGGAATCCTCCTGCCATACCAATATTAGGGAAAATGAATGACATTTCAACAAGAAAGAATGGTATACATGCAAATATGATCAAT